CACATGCACAACTTTTTTTTTTTTTTTTAAGGTACAGCAGAGATATGGCTCAATGGTTAAGAGCACTGTTGCTCTTGCAGAGGGCCTAGGTTTGGCTCCCAGCACCCATATTATGGCTCACAATGGTCTGTAATTCCAGTTCCAGGAGAGCCCTAGTACATAAACATGCAGGCAAAACATTCATATAAAGGGCTGGAAAGATGATTCAGTACTACTGCTCTTCCAGGGGTCCTGAGTTCAATTCCCAGCAACAACATGGTGGCTCATAACCATCTGTTATGAGATCTGGTGCCCTCTTCTGGTGTGCAGATATACATGGAAGCAAAATGTTGTATACATAATAAATAAATAAAATCTTAAAAAAAGAAAAATCATAACCAAAACCAAACCAGATAGACCAACCAACCAGAATGCTGACTCTCCACTAAGACTGCTGACCTCCACAAGTGCATGAATGGTGTTCGTGAGGACACACACACACACACACACACACACACACACACACACACACGTGGGGGGGGGAGAGAGACACAGTTTTTAAAAATATAAGTCACAAAACAAGTCAAACCTGAAGGAAAGTCATGAAAGCCAGTAGTGGAAACAACTTACTAAATATGCCTCTGGTAGGTCCTAGCCCACTACCCTCCTAGAATTCACCCAGTGACGCTGGGTGAGCACTGCAAAGCAAGATTCCCAGACTGGAGTCCTTGCAAACTGACTTCCTGCTAGGTTCTGTAAATGGGGGTACTGCAGGGAGAGTTGATACAGGAGAAGGTAGTCCTTCCTGTCCCTGCTGCCAGCAGCCTTTACTTCCCACCCTTGGCTTCTGACAACATTCCAGAGCAGCTGTGGTAGTTTCCCTACGAGGAAAAGCCCAAGCTGGTTGGGCCCTCCTACCCACCATCTGTAGCTGGGGTCCTCCTCCAAGTCCTCCATCCTGTCAGCCCTACTTCCTGAACCCTTTCATCCTCCCAAGCCTAGGGGCGGTAGCCACCCACTGTAATTACTAATATCCGGGGAATCTCAGCTTCCTTCTTGGCTCTTTCAGTTTTACAGCATGAGTAAACAACCCACCTTGAATATCTTACCACACTGGCCTGAGGAAAAACTAGTATGCTTAGTATTTTCCTGTGGACCCTAAAATCTCACAGGGTTTTGCAAAGGAGGCAGTGTCATGGACTGAATTACTGCTGCCAGTTCCTTGTTAGCAATGACCATGCACACAGCTTAGATCTGCAAAACCTGACCCCACCCTGCTCAAACTAGGCTTTGGCTAATGATATGTGAGGTTAAGTGATGTCTGCCGCCAGAAGCTTCCAGAGTAGACTAAAGATTTTGCCACTGTTCTCTCTCTCTCTCTCTCCACCAGGAGCCTGGTGTGTCACCAGCTGCCCCACAAAGGCAGAAACAAACCTCTGTTGTTGAAGCCAAGGAGTCACATAAAACCTTCCTGGGTCTGGAAAGAGATGAGATGGCTCAGTGGTTAAGAGAGCTTGCCATTCTGCAGAGGACCAGGGTTTGGTTCCCAGCATCCATATTGGGTACCTCACATCTGCCTGTAACTCCAGCACCAGGGGATCCAGTGCCCTCTTCTGTCCTCCATGGTCACCTGTGTGTGTGTGTGTGTGTGTGTGTGTGTGCGCGCGCACACACACACACACACACACACACCTACCTGATTCACAGACCTACACACACCTACACACACACACTCAGAGCAAAGTACTTGTGGAGTAGAATGGGGGGTGAATGGTACATGCCTTTTGTAATTCCAAATGCCCTGAGGCTACAGCAAGGATTTAGAGTTCTAGACCAGCATCAGGAATTTAATGAAACTGCCTCAAAAACAAACCAATGAAAGATCAGCATGGAAACCAGAAGAGCGGATAGATGAAGATGCCTGCATGGTTCTGCAACAGGGTATCAACACTGATTAACTTCAGACATTAAGTGGGACTCTGTGTCAAAAATAAATCACTTGCCAGACAGTGGTGGCACACACCTTTAATCCCAGCACTCAGGAGGCAGAGGCAGGAGGATCTCTATGAGTTCAAGGTCAGCCTGGTCTACAAAGTGAGTTCCAGAACAGCCAGGGCTACACAGAGAAACCCTGTCTAACTGCCCCCCCCATAATAAAAAGAATGTAATCCAATAGCTTTTACCTTGAAAGACTGAATGGGGTGAGAGCAAGGCCTGCCAGAGCCACATCTGCCATACTTCCATACTGCCTGCTGGAGTCCACTCAAGTACCCTATGCCCAGCTTTCCTTTCCTCTCTTTCTTCCAGGTTAGCAGCAGCAGCTGGCCTGGAACTTGCTATGTGGAGCAGGCCCATTCCATACAGAGAATGGTCTACCATGATCTACTCTTCGATTTGAATGAGTCTGTCAGGTTTGCAGCAAGCAAAGTTAGAACAAAAGCAAGTAGCAGATAAACAGCAGAGACAGCAGAACATTAAGTCAGGAGTTTATGACAAAGACGGCTGTAGCAGCCTCACTCAGAAAGCAAGCAGAGGTGACAGCATCAAAACAGGCACTGGAAACACCCAGCAGAAATGACCAGGGTAGCCTGGATGAAATAATTTTGTTCACATTTCCTGATTCAGTGAGTGTTTTCTCCATGGATTGGTGTCTGGCTTCTCATTCCTTCTTTAGGTATTTTTATACCATGAGATACACAATAACCTCTGTTGGAATGGCTTTTTCCTTCAGCTCTTATGGTCACACTGTTTCAATTTTTTTGTTGTTGCTGTTGCTGTTGTTTTTGGAGACAGGGTTTCTCTGTGGCTTTGGAGGCCATCCTAGAACTAGCTCTTGTAGACCAGGCTGGCCTCGAACTCACAGAGATCTGCCTGCCTCTGCCTCCCAAGTGCTGGAACTAAAGGCATGCACCACCACCGCCTGGCCCACAGTTTCAAATTTTGATTTTATTTTTTGTGTATATGGAGGTTTCACCTGTATGTATGTCTGTGTACCACTTATGTGCCTGTGCCCAAGGGGGCCAGAAAAGGGCATCAGATTCCCTAGAACTGGAGTTACAGAGAGTTGTGAGCAGTCATGGTGCTGGAAACTGGAATTTGGCTCTGTAACAGTAACCCATGAAGTTAACACTGAGCCTCTCTAGCCCCAGGTCACCATGTTTGTTTGTATTATACCTACACACCTACACACACACACAAAGTACATACTTTTTTTTTTGTTTGTAACAGCCTTGGCTGTCCTGGAACTCAATCTGTAGACTAGGCCAGTGCAGAACTCACTGAGCTCCGACAGCCTCTGCCTCCCAAGTGCTGGGGTTAAAGGCGTGCCACCACCACCCCCTCATCACCAACTTTTTAATACAAGTAGCTGTTCCTTGTTTTTCTTTTGCCCTGTTACAGTATAAAAGGGCCAACCTGTCCCCAGAACAGGGAGCTCTGGAGAAGACTTGAAATAAAATGCTTGAGTCTGGGATGGGTGAGAAGCTTCCTGCTCTCAGAGTACAGACAACATGTACCAATACCAATATAGTGTCTGACAGATGGTCTCTGAACTTCTGAGTGATCCTCCGGCCTCTGTTTTCCTAGTGCTGGGATCACAGCATGTGATGCCAGTCAGGGCTCTGGGCTTTTATATTTAAATTAATTAAAAAAATTCAAGGCCAGCAAGATGGTTATACATGTCAGGAAAGTGCCACTCCCACAAGTGTCCTGTGCTCTCTATATGCAAATGAGATACACAAATAAAAACATGCAACAACTGTTTTAGTATTTATTTAGGTGTTTTTGAGACAGGGCTTCTTTGTGTAGCCCTGACCTGGAACTCACAGAGAGCCCCCAGACTAAGAGAATATATTTGCTAGGGACAGAGTGAGACCAAAATGACCATTAGAAGCAGTCATAAAGCCAGGACGTGGTGGTGCATACCTTTACTCCCCGAACTTAGGAGGCAGATCTGAGTTTAAGGCTAGCTTGGTCTGCAGAGTTCCAGGGCAGGAGGACTACACAGAGAATTCCTGTCTTGAAACAAACAAACAAGTTTAGCTAGACGTGGTGGCACACACTTTTAATCCCATCATTTGGGAGGTTAGATACATGAGGATCTCTTGAGTTCAAGGCTACTCTGGCTTACAGAGGGAATTCTAGAACAACCAGGGTTATATAGAGAAACCCAATATTGAAAAACAAAACAAACAAAAAAAAAAAAAGGCAAAAAATTATGCCGGGTGGTGGTAGCGCACGCCTTTAATCCCAGAACTCTGGAGGCAGAGGCAGGCGGATCTGGCCAGAGACCCAGTCTTGAAAAACAAAAACAATTATTTTGCTTGTGAGCCTAGCCTTCATCACCATCACCCCAGCCCTTAACATTTTAAAATTATGTGCATGTGTCTGTGTGTGCGGCTAGACATAGGAGTTCAGGTGCTCCTGGAGGCCTTGGAACAGGTGTTAAGTGTGGCTTGGCTGTGAACCACTTGATGCAATAGTTGGGAATTGAACTTGGATCCTCTCTGCAAGAATGGTTTGTGTCCAAAGGGCTGGGCATTGGTGGCACACGCCTTCAATCCCAGCACTCAGGAGGCAGAGGCAGGCAGATCTCTGTGAGACCAGCCATCTACAAGAGCTAGTTCCAGGCCAGCCTCCAAAGCCACAGAGAAACCCTGTCTTGAAAAACAAAGGGGAAAAAAAAAAAAAAAAAAGGTTTGTGTCCAAAGGATAAGGTGGAATGTGACAGCAGGATACCTGATGTCACCTGCCTCTGTCCATGTGCACAAAGGACACATATACAAGCACCACACACACACTCTCACGTGCACACAAAATCTGTGGTCTGGAAGGCCATTGCCCCACCACTATGCAGCTTCCATTCCAAAAGTCTGTATGCCAGGCATACAGTACCTGTTTAACTTGGTGGGATACGGTGACACATTCCTTCAAGAAAAGGCCTGCTGCCCAAATGCAGTGAGGTGGATCTCTGTGAGTTCGAGGCCAGCCTGGTCGCCAGAGCGAGTGTCCAAAGCCACAGAGAAACCCTTGCTCGGAAAACCAAAAAAAAAAAAAAAAAAAAGAACTTCCAAAGGACCCGTGTGGTTGGCTCCAGAAGATTAACCCAGTAGTAGCGTGGGTTAAGCTGCTGTTCTGGTAGGTCTGGAGAGAGGGCCAGGCAGGAGGATGGCAATGCCAGGCAGGTGAGGGTGTGTGTGCAACTGTCTGGCTCTCTAGGGTGAGGCCTGGTGAATTTTAGTGAAGAGGCTGTGGCTGTCACATGGTCTGGCTGCAGGTTTGGGAAGGAAGCCAGAGCTGGGCCATGTGCCAGACACATCTATTCACTTACTGGGTTAGGGAAGCCGAAAAGAACTGGGCTCTAGATAAACTTCTGCCTTAGTACCAGGTGTGTGGGAGAGAAGGTGGTGCTTGATGAAGAAAGGAACCCAAGAGCATGGAGTGCTGGGCGTTGGACTGCAGTGGAGATGGGAAGGGAGGGAAAAGTGTATGAGTGGCCACATGCCTGAAACCCCTGACACCACAACCCCACTGGGGCATGTCTTTGGGGACTGAGGCAGGGCTCCACATCTTAGCCATCTTTCCAATATATTGTCAAAGGCCATTTTTTTCCTGGCCTTCCTCTGAGGAATTGACAGGGGTGAATCTTCCTGCTTGCATCGCCAGTTGTCAAGGGTAGCAGGGCAAGGTGGAGAGAGTGCCTGACTACAGAGGCTCCACCTCCAGACACTGCCCACTTACAGCCCTCTACTTTGCTCTTTCACGCCTGTGAAGTTGTACAGAAAAACAAGTGCCGGGCTGAGGTATAGCCTGGTGTAGTAGGAAGCTTGCTTATGTCTGGAATGGTGGTGCTAGACTTTAATCCCAGCACTCAGAAGACAGAGGCAGGCGAATCTCTGTGAATTAAAGGTCAGTCAGGTCTACACAACAAGTTCCAGGCTAGCCAGGGCTACAGTGAAACATTGTCTCAAAACACAAAGTTAAAAAGAAAAAAATTAAGACAAAGCAAGTATATTTAGTATATGTAAAGCTCTGAGCTCAATTTCCAGCAAACTCCCAAATAAAAGCATAATTAGTACAACTTAAAATGTCTTCCCTAAGATGTTTATACATGTTTATAGGTGAAGCACGGTGGTGGTGTTGTAGGCCTTTAATCCCAGCACTTGGGAGGCAGAGGCAGGAGGATCTCTGTGATTTCAAGGCCAGTCTCAAGTTGAGTTCCAGGACAGCCAGGGCTACACAGAGAAACCCTGTCTCAAAACTACAACAAAACCAACCAAACAAACAAAAGATGTTTATAGATAAAATGCTATTATCTGGAATTTGTTTTGAAACAAGCCAGGGGGGCTGAGTGTGGGGCTAGGGATACAGCTTGGAACAGTTTAGTGGATGTGAGGTCCTGGCTTCAATTCTTACGAAAAAAGGTTAAATTACCAGGAGTACCTGCCTGTACTCCCAGCTCCTCCCTCGGGGTGCTGAGGTAGGAGGGTTTGGACCTAGAAGTATTAGCTGAAGGTCATCAACATAGACATACCATGGTTTTATATTTTGTTTTCCTTTTTTTTTTTTAAGGTAGGGTATCATGTAGTCTGGGCTGGCCTGAAACTTGGAGTCATGATACATAAGAATCCAAGCTCACTTTATTGAGCTGATAGTTTCCTTTCCTTTTAAAACACTGTGGGAAAATACACCTCGTATAGAAAGTTCCACCTTAGCCCCCTTGACTGTACTCAATAGGTAGGGTTGAATGTGCTGACACTGCCTCATATAGACCCCCCAACCCAGGTCCCTACACCTTGAGTGCCTTGAGCCCAGGCCTCCACAGTGCTGGAACTAAGTGCTGTGACCACTCGGCCTGGACTTCCGGGGGTGGGTCTCCTGGCTGGCTCCTGCAGATCTGAGCTGCCTGCCCTAAGGCTGGCACCTGAGCAAGTCCTGACAGGTCTCAGCTTCCACCCACAGCCTGCTGGGGGCTGCCCAGGTCACCAGGTCACTCAGGGAGGAAGGACTGCAAGAGAGGAGCCAGCAAAGGCCCCTTCCAGCTCTGGCAACTTAGGGAGGGCAGTCCAAGTTCACTTAGTATCTCTCAGCCTATGCTTTGCAAGGACTAAGGTCCTTAGTGGCCACCAACACAGCCTAAATCTTCTCTGTCAGACTAGAGCTGGCTCAGTTCCAAGGGGACAGAGAGAAGAGGAGGGAGGGTGAGAAGTGAAGGGTGGGGGCTGCAGGGCTGACAGGTCCCTGTGTATCGTGCCAGTTCCTGCACCCGAGTGAACTTAATCTAGTGATTTGTCCTGTTTGACAAAACCAACAATCCAGGGCTCAGAAAGGTCACCAGGCAGTTGCAAAACCAGGATCCAGGGCAAGAACCACCTTTCTTCCTTTTCTTCTTCCTGATTAGAAAATAGTCATGAAGTTCTTTTTGGGGCAGATGGTGCATTGAAGAAGAAGGCGGCCAACTGTCAGGCCCCGGAGGAGACTGTAGTGAGAACAAATGGCTTCTCTCTGCCCTCCTCCTAAGTTCTTCGTTGGCCTACTAATTAAGTTGTCATTAGACAGATTAAGAAAAGGAAGACCAGAACTGGAGAGGTGCCCAGCGATTAAGCACCTGCTACTCTTACAGAGGACCTGCGTTCAACTCCCAGCACCCACATCTGGCAGTGTAAAACCGCCTGTGACTCTAGCTCTAGGAGAATCCAGCACCCTCTTCTGGCCTACTTGGGTAATGCATAGACATGAGGCTCACACAATCAGGCACACATACATACACATAATTTTTTTTTTTTAAGGAGAAAACTGGAGTTGTAGCTCAGTTAGTAGAGTGTTTGCCTAACATGTACAAGGCCCTGAGTTCAATCCCCAGCACCAGGGCTGGGCATCGTGGCAAACCTCCCTAATCCCAGCCCCTGGGAGACAGGCAGGTAGAGCTCCATGAGGCCAGTCTGTTCTACATAGTGAGTTCTAGGACAGCCAAGGCTACATGGAGAGACCCTCAAAAAACAAACAAGCAGGGCTGGAGAGATGGCTCAGAGGTTAAGAGCACCAATTGCTCTTCCAGAGGTCCTGATTTCAATTCCCAGCAACCACATGGTGGCTCACAACCATCCGTAATGAGATCTGGTGCCCTCTTCTTGTGTGCAGATATATATGTAAGCATACATATATTGTATGTTGTATACATAATAAATAAATAAAATCTTAAAAAACAAAACAAAAAAACAAAACAAAAATACAAAAGGAGAAAAACTACAAAACAATTGGTGCTACAGAAAAGAATATGGGCTCTCTGCTCCTGGGCTGGAAGGATGGGTATGGCACAAATTTGGGGAAAGTGAATGGAAATTTGCGGTGAATACCTTCGTGGTCTTGTTATATACAGAAGCCAGACACGGTAGTGCACATCTGTACTCCCAGCATACAGAGGCAGGGGCAGGATTGTGAGTTCCAGTCAGCCTGGGCTAGATAACAAGACACCGTGTCAGAAACCAAAAATAGGGCTGTCCAGCTTGTTCACTGGGTAGAGGCTCTCCTCTTGCTGTTCCCAGCAGTCAGTGTAATATGCTGGAATGGCATTTCCTAAACCCCTTCATGACCTTGGGGAAATCTGGACTGGACACCCGTCCCTATGTGCTCAGGGCTGGCTGTTTTCTGGGAGTGACAAGATGGGACAAGTGACCCCAAGATGATGGTGCATGGTAAAAGGACAACTGATAAAAGGAAAAGGCTGAGTGGAGACAGTGTGATCAATTTTGTGTTGAGAGTAGGAAGAGAGACTTTGAAGGCAGTGGGTGACCAATTACAGAGGAGGAGACTGGGGCAGCTGTCGGGTCATGGGTGATGGGAGCCATGGTAGTGTCTCAGCCTGAAGGAGTGGCAGGACCAGTTCTGAGGCTGAGATTCTGCCTCTCTGGGCTGCAGGGAACTGGAGACAAAATGTGTGGGCTAGAAGGTTCCTCTGGGGCAGAGTGGAGAGGAGCCTAGGAAGACTGTTGCAACTGTCAACAAGAAAGGTGATGGGGTCAGAGGAGGCAGCCAGAGGTGGCTACCAGGGGTGAAATAAATTTCTACTCCCCATGGGTAGCCCTGGGACCCCACTGTCTTGGGCACTTGCAGGCGGCAGATAACTGAAGGAAGTTAAATTGTCCAAGGCTAGCCAATTCAGGAAATAGGTACCCAGGGAATTTCACTTCAGCCCTGGCCTGGTGCCAGAAGTGCCTCACTCCTTGGCATTTGAACAGCATGGCTCGAATGCCAAATCCATAGGTCTGTCAAATGTAAGGACAAGAGACTCACGTATACCTGTCTGCATGATGAACCCATGAGATGGACAGAGTTCAGTTGGTACACCCCCTCCTCCCCAGGGCCAACTGCCTACATGAGTCTAGTCTCTTCAACGTTGTGAGGCAAGATTAGGTGGGAGGAAAGAGGCCTGGCCTATTGATGGCCTCTGACCTCCCGCCTCTGTCCAATACACCTTCACTCTAAGACCTCAGAAAGGCAAACCCTTTTGGGCCCTCTAGCACTGAGGTGTATGTACTTTGGTGGAGGTAGATCAGGTCCCCCTTCTGGACCCCAAGTTTTCCATCAGAGAAAGCTGAACCAAGAAGATCCAAGAGTTCAATGACATGTCCTATGATTTAGCCTTGAAAACATACAGAGGAAGGCATAAGCGTGCTAGGGGAAAGAGGAGGTACTGGATCGTGACTGAGCCTACTTCCCTACAGGGTCAGCTGGTCCTGTCTGCCTTGCCATTCCTCATCAAGGTAACCAGGGTAACAACATGCAAGGGCTCAAAGCTAGGCAGTATCTGTCAGTCAGGCCAGCTCTCTAGAGTCAGGAGATGGTCTTAGCAGTCTGGAGTCTCTAGCCGGTGTAGAAGGTAGGGATAAGAAGCCTGCTCCTAACCTTCCCTTGCTTCCCTGAATGACACCTCTCTTCAGGCTGTCCCTGGCCGCTGCTCTAGCCCCTCAGCTCCACAGCCAAGCCAGGATCCTTACCTGAAGACAGTTCTGAGTATTTGTTCAGTCAGGAGCCTCCACCCTCTCTCTTGTGTTCATTCTTGATGTCTCTGGGCTCCAGAGGGGAGGGGCCTCTGATCCAGGCCTTCCTCCTGGGATGCCCGAGACACAACCACCATCCTTCTCCACTGCCAGCCTGGTATAGGGGAAGAACACTGGAGAGGGCGGGAAGAAACCAGAGGAACATGGATAAATTACTGCATTTGTAAATATGAAACGGGTCCAGGAACGGGAGGGATGTGGGCTTGGACCTTACCGAACCAGAGTCACCATCAACACTTACAGATGGGGCAGGTGAGGTGGCTCAGTGGGCAAAATCCTTGCTGTACAAACCTGAAGACTTGAGTGCGATCCCCAGAACCCATGTAAAGGTAGAAATGGAGAAACTGACTTCACAAAGTTGTCCTCTGACCTCCACCTACAGGCAAATGCATACACACCGCACAACAACAACAGCAATCAGTAAGTATTTACAGAGCCAGGGCACTTAAAATCCCAGTATTTACAATGGAATTTAAACCCATCTTCTGCTACAAAATGAGTTCAAGGGCAGCCTGCCTTACATGAGATCCTTTCTCAAACAAAAAGGAATCTAGAATTTAGCTTCGACCTCTTTATTTATTTATTTATTTTTTTGGTGTGTTTGTTTTTTGGAGACAGGGTTTCTCTGTAGCTTTGGAGCCTGTCCTGGAACTTGCTCTGTAGACCAAGCCTCAAACTCACAGAGATCCGCCTGCCTCTGCCTCCCAAATGCTGGCATTAAAGGTGTGCGCCACCACAGCCTGGCTCCAAGTTAGTTCTTTATAACCACTTCGTGAACATTCCCAATCTCCCCAGATGACAGACTTCTTTTGCCTGGGTACCTATAACCCAGTCTCTCCACTTCACCCAGCAGGCAGGCTTGGGTGTGCAGTGCCCAGTCTGTCCTGGAGCACAAGCTCGCCTTTAGCCGTCCTACACAGGCTACGACATGTTCCACGCCCCAAGTCTGGGCTAACGGGTGTGCCACCTCAGAGGATCTCTCAGGGCTCTGGCCTCCCTAGAGAGCTCATCTGCATCTGAACATACCCATCTCTCCACCTTGCCATGAGCCTCCATCTGACTCAGGCTATGCAGCCCCTCCACTACTGAGATACTGAGTAGCTGTGAATGAGTTTTCTTAAAGAGAAAAATCCCAAAGCCAGACAATTCCTTTGTTAGGAAATCGCTAACAGTAGAACAGAAAGCAGAGCTGCAAATTGGTACCTGTTGGGCCACAGATGACATTTTGTTTAAATGAAGTAAGTTTTGCATGATACATTAACTGTTTGAATTTGGGGTACTGGGGATTGAACCCAGGGCCTCAGACATGCTCTGAGCTCATGCTCTACCACTGAGCCACATCCAGCCCTCTGAGATATTTTAAAGGGAATAGCAGAAAGTGCTGCAACCACTGCCCGGACACCAAGAGAAAAACCCTACACCTAGCAAGGAACCCCCCTCACTTCTTCCCTGAAGCATCTATCACTAATCTGCCGTCTGTCCACAGGGCTTACCAATTTCACATGAGTGAAATCACGCGACACGGGGCCTTTTTTTGGGTGGGTTCTTTGATTTAGCATCACTTTCTAGAGGTTTATCTGAGTTGTAGCATGGGATGGTCCTTTTCTATGGTATGGATGGACCACACTATCCTTTCATTAATCGATGGAGGGTTTGATCCGTTTCCTCCTCTTGACTACTATGCACGGTATTGCTATGAGCATCTGAGTAGATGTTCTTGTTGGCATATCTGGTTCTGTGGCCATATACCTAGGAATGGAAGTGGTAAGTAATATCCTAAAATCCATGTCTAACTTACTTTTCTTTCATTCACTTTTCTTTTTTTTTTTGAAATCTTAAAAAGAAAACGTGGCCAGGAGGTGGTGGTGGCACGTGTCTCTGGTCCCAGCACTGGAGAGGCAGAGGGAGGTGGACCTCTAAGTTCGAGGCCAGCCTGGTCTACATAGTGAGTTTCTGGACAGCCAGGGCTACACAGGGAAACCCTGTCTCGAAACGGTGTGTGTGCCTGTGTGAATTAATGTGTACAACATGCGTGCAGTGCCCCCAGAGGCCAGCAGTGGGGCACGGGATCCCAGAGAACAGGAGTTACAGATGGTTATGAGCCGCCACGTGGGTGCTAGGAACCAAACCCGGGTCTTCTGATGCTCTTAACCACAGAGCCGTCTCTCCACCCTCACCCATCTGTGTTTAACTTTTTAAGGGAGAAAAGGTGTTCTAACTTCCTGAACTTGAACGTGTTTGGGTGTCCAGCCTTCTGTTTCCGTCCCGCTAATGCCTTACCCAGCCCATGTGACTCATTTACATTATCGGTCTGGCCCCTGAAGGCATCTG